AAATATCAAACTTGGTCAACAAGAATCAAGAAAGTCAAGAAAGTCCACAAAAAGTCAAAGTTTTCAATACTTAGAAAAATTCTAAGTGTTTTTAACCTTGATAATTTCACTACTTCATGACAATTTTTCACCATGATGCAAGATGATTCAAGGAAAACTTTCAACATGAAAGTTGTAGGTCTTGATTAATTCTACAACATGGTCCCTTATGGTTGATATCCAAAAAATGCTTAGATTTGAATATATATGCTCTTGAAGTCATGACCTTTTTACTAAAACACTTAGTGAAATTTTCATCAAGTTAGGCAGATTTTTTGTCCTAACTTCTTGGCCAATTTTCACAAAGCTCCAAGATGATTTAGCCAAAGTGGTTAACATGAAGGTTGTAAGAAATGTTTCAAGATTTCCAAAATATCCTAGAACTTGAAGAGATCATGCTTGATCTAGGAGAATCGAAGAAAAGAAGTTGGACATCCATTCTTGAATTATAGCGCATTTTCATGAGGAACACTTGAACAAATCTCAAGCCATGCTGCATAATATTGCTTTGAAGGCCTTCAAACTTGAAAATCACTCAATAATTAAATGTTTACATAACTATTTGAGCCATTGTCCAAGTGTTTGCAGCTTTGTCTAAGTTGATTTTCCATTTTTGGCACAAAGTCACCACTTCCATTTTAGAAAAGCCAACTTTAATCACAATGTAAACTCCTTGAGCCCATACATTGTTGCTTCTGACTCCAAAACATTTCAAAGCAAGAATCAACATATCTACAACCTGTAAACCACCCTACAAGCCCTTGTACTTCACATTGAAACTATGCATTTCTTGTTTGCTTCAAAAGCAAGTTTCAAAAGCATAACATGTGATTTCTTAATTCTGATCACTAGAGCCTTCAAGACCATTCCTCTATAAATAGAGAAGTTATATGCAACCTAACACACGATTTTACAAGCCCTTAAACTCCCTCAAATTCCCAAAAAATTAGAATTTGCACATAAACCTCCATTGTTTCAACTTCTGGAAAAAAACTTCAAACTCACAATCCACTCGTGTGTTTCCTCTCTAAATATATCACAAAGCTTCCATAACTCATTTACAACTCATCCACATCCCTGTTTCATAACTGTAACTCCATTTCCATCATTGTCCAAACCTCACTTTACACCTCTGCAACTTGACTTCTCCAGCACGATTCAGCCACTTTCAGCATAAAGTAAGAGTTGCATTAGCTTTCTAGGAGTCCAGTGAAGCTATCCAGATCATCACAACACCTCCAGAAGTGCTCAAACTCCATACACGATTTCCACTTTTAAGGTATGTTTTCTCAACTTTGAACTTCTTATACAAGCATCATTAATGGTTACTTTGTGAATAAAAAATGTAGACATCATAGCCCTGAAGCTAACCATGCCTTTAGTTTTCATTTATGTTTCTTGAGTAATGTGAATTTTGAAGTTGAACTTTCTGAAAAAATTAGGTTTTATTTGGTACCAAATAAAATTCGCGTTCATCTTTGATTTATAACTTTAGTTATTTATATGGTTGAATTCATGTTGAAAAATGGAGCAAGTTTCATTTTTACACTTTTGAAAATGGTTGAGAAATGAGCAAGTTCAGAAATTCAAAAATGCAACAATGGAGGTTGGCACGAGGAAGAAGATGAAGTTGTAATCAGGACTGAGTTTATTTCAAATTTAGCGCAAGTTTTTTTATATACAGATGAAACAGCCACCCTAGTGGCAGAGCACGCACGTATAAGTAATTACTCTATAGGGACCTAGGTTCGAGCCCCAGTGGTACCCTTTTGTATTTTTTTCACATATTTTTTTCAGATTTGGTGCGCCTGGCTTCTTAAAGTCCATCATGTACCTTCATTCCTTCACCATAGGATCATCATAATATCTCATCCAACACTCTACAAAGCAGGACCATGATACACCTTGAAAAGCCAGCCACACATGATTCATACAGCGATGAGCTTCCCTTGTATTTGGGCCCTTTCTCTTTTATTTTTGCTATTTTCTTAACTCCCTTTTACTAAAATAACCAGGCTCATTTTTTTTTATTTTATAACTTAAACAAAAAATATCTTTTGGGCCTAGCGCCCCATTTCCTTTTTCACCTCCATTTCACTTTTTTAACACCCAACCCATTTCTTTTTATTTCTTTATATTTCTATATTTAATTTGTTTTTATTTAACCCAAAAATATAAAAAATATACTTTCTTAAATAATTAAATTAAAAATATTTTTATGTGAATATTTTATTTTAGTAAGTTAGTTTTATTATTTCTTTTACAAATTGATATTAGTATTAACATTCAAAATTATTTTCTAAACAAATTATTTAGACTTAGATTTTATTTTTAATTTCAATTAACTTAGATCCTAGGTTTTGATAAATAACTAATTAACTATTTTTGTAATTAAATTTAATTAATCTAATTAGGTTATCATTAAACCTTCTCCATCAAAAACCCTACATTTTATACAATCAATTATTATTATTCATATTCAATAATTTGTAATAGTAATTAGGGCTTTATTGCTTTCTCCCCCTATTCACAAATTGTACCCTCATTCCCAAAGTGTTGTAATAGCGTAGGACATTTAAATTCCGCATTTTATCACTTTCCTTATTATTGCTATTAATTAGGGTTTGCATGATAAGAATTAAAATCAAACATTAGACAACCCTAATTCAAGATGAAATATTTGAAAACAAATCACCTTGCACACTTGCACCTCTAGGATAACCCACACTTGTTGCCTCAGATAAAATCAATCATGTCCCTCGAACATGAGATGTTTTAGCAAAGACCCTCAATTAAAAGATCGTAGTCCCTCGATGACCCTTCAATGTTGCCTTCGATAAACGATCTTAGTCTCTTACGACAAAATTGCTAAAGCATCTTATAAGTTGTCTTCTATGACTGTATGATGATCCACGTCCGTCCCTTACATCCAATGATATGGATCTATACTAACTAATGGCATACAAGCATTATCTAAAGGATGAGGAAAAGAACAAAGACTTTTTTAGTAGGTAGATTGTTCATAATTTATTACTGACAAACAAAACCATTTCCACACCTCACACTTTTTAAAAACTTTTCAAAAACAAACATTTTGTATACATTATTAACGATGCGAGAATCATTACAAAATTACCTTACATTGGCATTTTCAAACATTCCCTTTCAACAAATATTTTCAAAACCAACACTTTGTATACATTCTCAATGATACGAGAATCATTGTAAAGTTTTTCGTATGAAGGAGTTTTCAAAATATTTTCAAACTTACACAAACACAAAAGTATTTCAAAGTGAGCTAGCAATTAAGAGCCCATAGTTATGAATGAAAAGGTTTCTAACACCTTCTCTTTTCATAACCTACCCCCCGAACTCAATAAAATTATCAAAAGGTCTTTCATGTTCTTTTCACCCTTTCCTTTATTGGATAAAATAAAAGTCGGTGGCGACCTTGCTATCCGTAACATTTGCGATAAAACGCAAAACACCCAAGTCAGTTCTCCCACCGTATTTCTGAACTGGTCACTCTGTTGGGGATAAATAAACTAAAAGTGGGGTTACCTTAAGAGCTATATCACATTTATTTGCTTTACTTGTTTTCCTTGTTTGCTTTACATTTGTGGGTTATGCTTGGGTTTATTTCTTGTATAGATCCTATACTCGGATCTGGGGCATATTAGGTAAGTAGAAATAGATCGTGGGGACTATGCGGCATAATACGGACATGGTTGAAGCGATGGCTATGTTAGTGTGACACATTTGTTGGTACCGGTGTCCCTTGAGTTTAGTCAAGGAGAATACGAGGCTGCTGTGTGGTGTCATGAAGCACCAACTTGACCGTAGAACCTTAGTTAAACAACTTGTCCATTCGAAAGTAGTGAGATAGTTGGATTTGGTGCAAGACTAAAGCTGGTTGATACTCGATACTACACTCATTGAGATCAGACTTTTGGGATATTTTGGCCGCAGTTTGGATGCTTGAGCTAAAACAGTGCCCAATTAAGAAAGTTCGGTGACATTGAGGCTCCTAGAACCCGATTACTTCTTTTAGGACAGGTTGAGCCAACTCAAACTTCAAGAGGGTACTTACCTATAAACCTCATGCAAGCCTAAAAGTTGGAATTCTACCTAATGTTTGCATGCTTGGATTTAAAAGCCTAATGTCTAATTTTAGTTCAATTAAATCGAAGATTAAATTTGAGCCAAAATATCCTAAGGAATCATGAAAGAATATACAAACAAGTAAAATTAGGCAGCAAATATCAAAGTATAGCTTACAATCCATACCAAAAATCGCAAATAAAATACATGACATAAAATGAGTAAAACTAGTGATTAAGATTGACTAAAAAGTTAACAAAAGGGGAGAAAAATTCCTAGTTAATTTCTAAAAAGTCTTATAATATTTTTTTACCATTTTTATTATATATTTTTGTTATAAAAAAATATCATGAAAGAAAGAATTAAAAAAATATAAAAAAGAAAATAAGAGAATCAGGGGGTGTGCAATTTGGATCCAGGGGTATGGTTTCAGCAATCAGGCGCTAGGCCCAAAAAACTAGGGTCCACTAGCAGTTTTTTATTGTTACTGCTGCTGCATTCAATTTCCAAAAAAGGGTTGAAACGGGCTCAAGGATGATTCGGCCCAACAAAGAATTCAGCAAGCGTTTTTTGGTAGATATCTCAGTCTAAAAAAATGCACATTATTGGGCTTATGGATCACACTAACCCAATCCTTACCTTTTCATCAGATTTTAATTAATATTTTTAAATAAAGATAAGGACATGAAACGATGTTGTTTCATCACTCTTAGGCTAGGGTTGAATTTGTGTCGTTTTGGATACCCAAACAGACTCATCCTTCTTCTCTCTCTATTTTCTATCCGGCGATTTCTGGCGAGTAAACATCATCGTCGCCACCATCATCCACACCAGAAAACCTAAGCCACACATCAATCCCTATGTCATCTCCTCGTATTCATTCTCTCTTTCCAAATCTTTCACTAATTCCTCCAAATTTCTCTCATATCTCTTTGTATCTTAACAACAATAGAAAAAACCTAGAAAGCTTAAAAGAGTAATTAAACAATGACAAAGACGAATTTGGAAGCGATATCTTAGGGATACGACTCGCAAGGCTTCACTCTACACAATGATGTCAAGAAAAAGGTGAAAGGATGAAGAAATGGAAGACATCGGAGCTTACCCACCAGAGTTTGCTCGACGCGTATCCAAACCAACAAAGATGATAAGAAAACAAGAGTAAATCTATTCAAGGATTCAGGTACATACTTCTTTTCCTTGTTTCAAAATTCGTTTTCCTCTTGTTCCTCTTCTTCTTCTTCTTCTTCTTCTCTGATTCTACGCCTTTGAGTGGTTAATTCTGTGTTGTTTTTATCTTTGTCTTGAATGTGATGTTAAGAAGTATAGAGGCATTGAATGAGGAGTGGTGCAGTTTACGTTGAAGAAGATGGAGGTGTTGCTGAAGCATTGTGATAGTGAATGATGATGTTGTGTCTACACGTTATGAAGATTGAAGAATGGTTATTCTGATTGATAGAAGTTCATAGAATGAAGGTTGAAGATGAAGTTGATGGGAGAAGATAAAAATGGAACTCATAGAGAGAGAGAGAGGGGGAGAGAGAGAGAGAATTGAAGGAGAATGGTGTGTGTGAAACTGATAAAAAGAAAACTGGTGGTCATTGTTTAAACAAAGAAGATGCAGTTATATAGATTTATTAGGGAAGCTCGGAGCCATTGGATCTCAGAATTCAGTTATGAGATGGAGGGTTGGATTGGAGTTTGGAAAAAATCTTAGAACTAATTTGAATTCTGTTTGAGAGTTAGTTAGAACAACTGGAACCTTATAAATTCTATTAGGAGTTAGTTGTTAGTTGCTGAATTCTGTTGTGACAATTTGCAGGGCTATTTTAGAAGTTGGAAACTGTTAAAGAAAAACAGTTAGGGGTTTAGGTTGTTAGTTGGAAAAAGTTGGTTAGAAAACTGTTAAAATTGGTTATGAGATCAGTTGGACTTCTGTTTTTTGCAGTTGAATAAACTAACTGTGAGTTTTTTGCTAGGGGTTGTTATATGGTTATAACAATTAGGAGTTTACAGGATATTAGGGAGTTGGTTGGGAATTCTGTTTAGGGGATGTTGGTTATAGTTGACAGTAACAAATTGGTTAGAAGAAGTTTGTTGGGAAATTAATTGGAGGTTGGCAAATAGTCACGGTGAGTAAACTTGAAAGTGTGGGAAGCATGTTTATCAGGTTGTATGCATATGTATGACTAATTTGACTCGCGTTGTGCATTTGATAACATCTGTAAATTCGAATGTGCTTTGTCTAGCTCACTTGCATTTCCCCTTTTTTTGCATTTTGTTTCGATGAATTTCCTGTTCTTAAATGAATGATATGGTAATGAAACTTGCTCTATTTGGTTTGGAATTTCTGCTTTGGTTCACGTTTACTTACAACTCCTGATTTCTATTCTGAGATGAATGTGCATGATCGTTTATGTAGATTTGAGCTTGATTTCCTTGATGGATAGCTTTCAAGGTAAACTTGGTTTCGATTTATTTTTATTTGCTAAATTTTTCTATTGTTTCGAAACTGCCTTGGGAGTTTGGTATGCTTGTGTCATGTAACATTAATGTCCCTATTTTTCTGTATTGATGTCAACTGTTTTTTCTTCGGTTTTGCACAGATGAGAAGTGAAACTAGAAGTTTTGTGTCAGGCGCATGTTTGGTTTAGGCAGACTATGGTAAGGACGGATGACATAGGATGAAGTTCGAGTAAAGTTTAAAATAAGGGGATTTTAGCACACATGGAGGCAGCATGCAGTATGCGTACATGTATGAAAAGTGGTGGCTGAAGATGTTTTGAAGATAGATTAGTAACTAGGTCTAAGGATGAACAATGATGAATTGGTCATGGTGTTTTGGAATAGTTTTAAGAACATGGTCATTGTACATGCCTTCTTTTGTAATATCTTCTTGTCATTGACTTTACATTTGTAACTTGTTGACCTTCTGATTTTGGTGTTGACTTTGTCAACCAAGTAATATAGAATAAAAGGTTTCCCTCCTTTTCAAATTTGAAATTCAACTTTCCTTCTTTAATGCCTTAATAATTCCACAAAGTCCCACGTATGCTTCCAACAATGTAACCATGGTCGAGTATTAATGGAGAATGAGCAATTCTTAGTCAACACCTCCTATTTTATGACGACTTGATAAAAATATGATCCAATCTTTGGCTTGTTCAACAAGTAATCAAACAAGCCCTTATTCATGATGAGGCCTTGACTCATGAAGTATTTACTTAAACCTTTAGTGGAACCCTAATGATCCTGCCCTTGATGAAGATGGCAACTTTGTAGCTTAATGAGAGAAAGAAATTCTCAACAATCAAGAATCCAAACCCTAGATCCACAAACCATCGTTAATGAGAAACCAATTGATTCAATCCTGAATGAAGATGAGATTCTAAAAGCACACACAAAACCCTAACTTTAAGATCCTTGTTCTCATGCCAAATTTACTGCTTGATGATAAATGATGTGTTAAATGACCTAATGAAGGTTATGTACATGAGAAAAGTGTGAGATGCATAAGCTAGATAAAAGTGAGAGGGTAGGACAAATTTGGGGTATTACAGCTGCCCATATTTAATCGTCTTAAACTTGAAAGTATGATTGGCGCATGCCTTTCAGAAGTTAGAGGTAGAAGATGATTAAATATCAATGCCAAAAATTTATTCTGGGAGAAAGTGTGAGTGTTTATTTATTTTTGTGGTATATGCTGGGGGAAAGAATTTCTTTCGTTTTTTCAGTGAAGAGACAGAGATTGGACTTATAACGTGGCATGATGCCAATACAAGAAAAAGGTTGGTATGAAAAACGACGGATGAGGTCTGCGAGCGACCTACGGTCCTAAGGTGAAACATGGGAGTGATTTGTCGGAGAACCTAGCCTACGGCCGATCTCAGGTTCTAAGATGATCTATAGATGATCTGCTAGGGGAGATCTACGGGCGATCTACCAAAAGCTAAGCCTACGGGTGACCTACAAGGGAATTTAGATCTACAGTCGATCTAAAATCCTAAGGTAAGACCTACGTGCGGTTTACCATAATTACTAGGCCTACGGGCGACCTATAAGGAAATCTAGATCTACGGTCGATCTAAATCCTAAGTTAAGACCTACGGTCGGTCTACCAAAAACTACTTCTACGGGCGACCTCCAAGGGAATCTAGATCTATGGTTGATCTAAGATACTAAGGTAAGACCTACGGGCATTTTGCCAAAATTACTAGGCCTACGGGCGACCTATAAGGAAATCTAGATCTACGATTGATCTAAAATCCTAAGGTAAGATCGACGAGCGATCTAACAAAAACTAGGTCTACGGGAAACCTACAAAAGAATCTAGATCTACGGTCAATCTAAGATCCTAAGGTAAGACCTACAGGTGGTCTACCAAAAACCAGGCCTACAGGCGACCTACAATGGAATTTAGATCTACGATCGATCTAAAATCCTAAGGTAAGACCTACGGGCGGTCTACCAAAAACTAAGTCTACGGGCGACCTACAAGGGAATCTAGATCTATGGTCGATCTAAGATCCTAAGATAAGACCTACGGGCGGTCTACCAAAATTACTAGGCCTACTAGTGACCTATAATTCTAAAAAGGTGGGAGTGTTGGTCACGACACAATGATTGGAGATGCGAGAATGACCAAGTTCATTGCATTTGTTGGGATTTAAAGATGAAGGTCATCAGCTGGGGATTTGGGAGCGACATCCTCTTGTGGGGATGTATTATTTTCCTTGAATGATTCAGGTCTTTCATGTAAGGTACCTAATTTGGCTTATGCTTCGTATGCATGCTTGAATTTCTTTTGCCGCAAAGATCCATTCCAATGGATCGGCTACGCGCTTTTGAGGATGCAATGTTATGCAGTGATAACTATAAGCAATGCAAAGAAATAGACTCCATGGAGATAAGTGAAGGCTCATTGAGAACTATTGTTCATCACCAGTGATGCCAATACATATTGGTGCTGGAAGCCTGCAGTACCAAGGATTGCTGGGGATACTGATAAAAAATTTCACTGGGGAGCTCGTGATACCGAAAATTATGGATGACTCTGCTGAAGATTGAATTGCTGATGAGGCGAGTTTACAGGTACGCCACTGAATTCTGAATCTCCATGTTGTTGCGGAAGAGATAATCTGGCCCAACTTCTTTACATCCTGAACCATTGAGAGAATGGTATAACTGAATATACTGAGGAATGGGTATTAAACACCATGTGGATCTCTTCGAATACATGCCCCGTGTTTACGCCACACTGGGGAATTACCTCTTGAATCACTTGGGTATAAAATATGGACATGGATACCTGTGTATGCCCTGATTTACTCCATTTGGGATGTCGCAGTTTGCTCCAGTGGGGATGCCTCGATTTAGCTATGCGAAGGATGTGCACTCGCGCGTGCCAAGTCAAACAATGACTGCGGATTTTCTAAATTCACTTGGGGAATCAGGTTTAAAGTTATCTGTAGTAGATGAAGGCGGCTTCACGCACTGTAAGTTAGGGTGATCATTGTGATACTTCTAGATTGATTGTAGTTGTTTCGTACAACATAATTGGCTTGAAAAACTTTGCAAGTACGAATGAGGAATGCCCCTGTCTGGAGGATCTCTGAGAAGATTTGTGCTGAATAGAAGACCAGGATATTTATGCCACAATACGATATGAGGTGGCCTTCCCCAATCTCTTGGATCACGAAATAAACTGCTCTTGATTATAACTTTTTTGAAGAGATTTGTCGAATCTCGACGTAACTGCCCCAGGTTGGATCAATTATGAATAGATTTATCAATGTGATAGCCCCTGATCGATGGAAACTTAAATATATTTATCGACGTGATAGCCTCTGATTGATAGCTTTAAAGAGATTTATCGATGTGATAGCCTCTGATTGATAGCTTTGAGGGAATTCCCCAGATTTGGCTGAGCTCAGAGAGATCGATTCTCAAATTGATTTCCCCAGATTGGCAGAATTTGCTAACTTCATCCTAAAGGGTACTCAAACTGTGAAGCACCAATATGCTTTCGCTTAACATAATCTCTGGTTAACATGCCCCTGGATAAGTCTTTTCTCTTGTGACAACTGACTCTTGCTTCAATAAAGTATCCAAGCCTCTCTTCTCTGACAAGATTGAGCTCTTTACTGATGTTCATTGTGTAAACTTACTTCATGTCAATCAGTTGTTTTGTATGTAGAAGAATGTTTATTATTGGAATGATAATTCTAATGCAACACATATGTAAATTTTGAAGTTTTTGAAAAAAACTTTTAGTGAAATGATGTCATAAATCTGTTGTGAACGAGTCACTAGCTAGAGAGCAACATTTGCAAATTATTTTTTTATGAAAGATAATGCAAGAACATGATGCCAACACAGATATTCAAACATACCTCTTAGGAGTCAGTTAAACATTATCTCGTTGTAGCACGCTTTCAAATTGACCCATGCCTCATTTAGGACTTTTAGGGGTTGTAACATGGTCTGGTTCATGGTTTTAGAAAAAAGGATTTAAGGCTCAAACTTATTTGGTGCCCACCCATTCTCCATGATGTTCTTCATTCCTATGTTCAGTTGACCCGATACAAGCATTCATCTCTCGAGAAGAGTTTGCAATGGTCGAGGAACAACTGAGGCCTCTTGGACACAACAGTCACTAACTTCTGATTTTGGTGTCTGATCACACGACTTTGTTCTTATAGATAGGGATTTTCATTGGTAATATTTTTCTTGCTTTCGCTAGATTTTTCCAGGACAAATTCTTTTGAATTTCGATTTGGAAGTCCAGCGGGATGCCCCAAATTTTTCTTAAGCGACTTGTTTTCAAGTTGGACTTAGCATGGCTTTTTGTTTCTTTCTTATTCAAACTTTCCCTTTTGAACAAGTCTTTGATCTTTACACCATTTTTTATTTGTTGGAAGTGGTCGTGATCATCTGAGTCTTTGGTAGATATGGGATAGCCATTGTTGTATCGTCATCTGTTGACATCCTGATGTGAGAGAGACACCCATTGGGATATCGTTAGTTGATGCACATTGTTGATAGATGAGGGCTAACGATTGTGGTTTTGACGTTTCCTAACCTTTTGATTGATAACCATTGTTGTATCCTTGGATGCACACTCTTGATGAGTTCTGAACGCTTGATCAGATTAACTGAACACTACCCGCCCCAGGGTTAAAATGGGGGGTTTTTTCCTGAACAGAAAAGAAACTCCTACTTTGAAGGCTCAGAGGGATTAACGAGGGTCTATCTCCCTTATATCTCGGGTGTTTAGGGATAGAAACAAGGCATGTACATTGTCAGCAGGGTCTTACTCAAAAGTATACCAACCAAATGTTTTTTTGCATTTTTAGATTATCGTCATCCTCCATTCAATCTTTACCTAAGAATAAGACTTGGAAACTTGACATCAATATGTAAGTAAAACATTTAAAGAGTGATAACGAATGAATGCATAAAAATGAAAATAAAACTTCAAGACAAGCTTACTTATTGCATTAAGATTTTCATTCAAAAATAGACAAGTTTCTGCATACAAGCAATGTTTAAACAAACAAGCAAGAATGCAAATGAAAATGAAATAAAGAAACCAATGATTGCCATCATTGATGAGAC